ATTGAATAAAATGAAGATTTTTGTTTATCTTTTTGTTACAACAACAAGAAAAATAGCGTATTTGAATTAATGAGAAATGAATATCAATCTAACAAACTGTTTCATAAGTTAACATATAAGATGAATTGTTAAAATTTAATAAATAATACAAAATGATACAGTTATAAGAAATACATATGATAACAAGGCTTTCTAAAACAAAAATAATAGAAGAGACAAATTAATGACATGGCTATGCATTTAAATAATATTACGTACAAAGAAAATAGGAAAGACTAAGAATGAAAATAAATAATATTAAAACACTAATAAAAAGACTACGAGAAAATATGATATAATAGGTTGAAGTTAGTTGATAAGTTGAGTAATTTTGTTTTAAGTCTGGAACTAGAATAGTTGATAATAATATTGAAGATTAATTATTAGATATATCCATTATTGGATTTTCTTCATATTGAGAAGTGATTATTTCAGTTTCTTCAATATGCTCTATTAGTGTAATAGAGTTTATTTCAAACACGATTGGATTATTTCTTCTAATTCTAATGTGCTGCCAGAATTGAATGTGTAAAACATTAAGTCTTTCATATTTTTTATAATTATTGTTTGTAGGATTTTGGCAAAGTCTAATTGTAATTTCAGTGATTTTATTCTTCTTGCTGACTCTTTATGTATTAATCCATTTATTGATAATATTACAGGTATTATTTCTACATATATTAATTCTCTATTGTTTCTTAATTTCTCTTGTAATTCTTTGTATTTATTTATTTTATGAATGTAATTTAATTCTATATTCATATCTTGACATATAGCAACATCTATAATATATCATTTCTTTTCTTTAATATTTTGATATTATATAATGTCTTCTAGCATGGAATGAGTTTTCACTAACAAATAAATCTTTATTGTAAGTTATAATCATTTCATCATTATTAATACATTTTGGAGGATTATTAAAATCAATTGCATCAAATTCATTAAAATGGGTAATTAATATCTGTTTATATATTTGTTTACAAACATATTCATGTTTTGATATTTGATTCTTTTTCATTACATCCTAACAAGATATGACTAATAGATGCTATTGTGTTATGACAATGTTTACAATATTTTAAAGCATCATTTTGTAGTATTTTTGATTTAATATTTCCTGTCATAGTTACTCCTTCTTGCATCTTTACTACTTTGAGGAATGCATTTCTTTTTATATTTAATGACCTCCATGTGGTTATTGTTAATTTCTTATCATTGAAAGTGCCATTTGCACATCTTATATATTCACCACATTTCTTTTCTTTCCATTCACTTAAATATCTTTCATTTAATTCATTATTTACCCATTCAAATACTTTCTTTACATTGTGCTTTCTTTCATTTAATTCTATTATATTCATTAATTCATTAAAATTAATCTTCTTACCAAATGCTTTCTTCATTCTTTTAATTATTCCATTTGGACTTTCTTTTATTGTTTCTATCATTTCTCCTATTTCTGTGCTTGATCTCCACTTATATTTTAAATATATTCTTATTAATTCTTTAGCACATTCATCTCTTGCTGACATTAATCCTAATCCCAATTCATTTATTTTAACATATAGTCTACTTTTTGGGATATTTCTACTGTATAATTGGAGTTGCATTAATGATTTTCTTATTTGTTTATCTATATTCTCCAATTCTCCTAGTTTCCATGGGACAATACTAAATAAATATCTTAATTTGGAGATTATATCACTATTAATCTTTCTTATTGTATTGAGGCTGCTGTATTTCATAGTATTTAATGATGATAAAATAGAAGACACATCATTTAATATTCTTGTACAATATTTATTAATATTTACTTTATCTCATATTTCTATACCAAGGTATTTATAAGGATTATCATTAGTTACTCTTGGTAATTCAACTAATTCACCATTTATTTGACTATTAATATTAGTCATTATCCCACTCTTTTCTACATTAATTTTTAATCCTATTGCATTAAATATTTCTTTAGTTAATTTGTGGTATTTTTCCATTTCATCGAGGCTATTAGTCATTATTTTTAAATCGTCAATATACAATATGTGGTTTAACTGGACTTGTTTTTCTTCTCCATTCATTTTAATATTTAATTTGTTTATTTGTTTATCTAATTGTTTAGATAATATATCAATAGATAATACAAATAAAAGTGGAGATAAACTGTCACCTTGTATTATTCCTCTTTCTACATTAATTATACCTACACTTTATTGATTATAATACAAATTAAGATATGTATTATTTAATATGTATAATATACTATTAATTAATGCTAGTTGGATATTAAAATATATTAAGCATTGTTTAATCCATTGATGATTAATACTATCATATGCTTTGGATATGTCATAGTATGTTTCTACCAACTTCCATTTATTCTTTATTAATAATTGATTGATTATAGTGTTATATAATAATCCTTCTTTTGATGCATATGTGTATTTCTTACATCCAATTTGATTTAATGATAGTTGTGTTTTCAATTGGATTTAGCATCAATTGATTTTCTATTTTCATTTTTAATATTGATGTATACACTTTTAACAGACAATTTAAACAAATTATTTGTCTGTAATTTTGATTGTCTAATTTATCTCCTTTCTTATATATTAATATTGTTCTTCCTTGAATAAAGTGAGGAGGTATTTCATTAGGATTGCTTAACCATTCATTAAATAATTTTAATAAATACTTCTTTGGTTGTTCTAAATATTTAATCCAAAATCCTTGTATTTTATCAACTCCCGGTGCCTTCCAGTTAGCAATGAATTTAATAGCACAATCTAGTTCATTTAGAGTGATTATTGATATTCTATTATTAATTCTGTTTTCAATTAATATTTCATATAAATTAATATTTAGATAAAATCTATAATAGTGTTAGTTTCATAGATTCATTTCCAGAAATTAATAGTGGAGATATTATCTGGATATTCATCTTCTTTAGATTTATTTAGGTGTTGCATTTTCCATATTTCATCATTTTATATTTCCATCTTATTCTTTTCCAATTATTCTTTCTTATTTCTATTTCTATTCTTTTCATCTTTCGGAGGTATTTATAATAGTTTATTTGTTTTTGTTTTTATTTTAATATGATATATATCATTTTTCTTAATATGTAATATTCTTTTTAATTTCATATATTGTTTATTATGAAGTAAATCTCTCAATCTACATATTTTTGATTGTAATATTCTTTCTATACTTTTCTTTCCACTTCTTTCTTGTTTATTTTTATTAATTATGTTAATAATGGAAGCTACAGATTTAATATAATGGTAATAATCATCTAATGTATTGATTATTATTTCATTTTTATTAATAATATTAATTATTTGATGTATTTTCTTCTTATTGTAATAATAGTTAATAAATTGTACATCTTCTTGTTCTTTCTTTTCTTCTTCTTTAAATATTTTTATTACCTCCTCTTCTTCTATTTCTTCTTTCTTCTTTCTTGTTCATTCTAGTTATTATTTCTTTTAATTCTTTATCTTTCCATTGATGTTTTATTATTTCTTCCTCCATTCTTCTATTGATTTCTCTTTTAATTTCATTATTATTTTAAATGCACTCTTTATTACTTCTTTATATTCATTAATATCATTTACTTTGATTCCAAATTCCTGTATTAATCTTTCTATTATTTCTTCTTTAAGTTGACTTCTTAATTTTCTTTCAAATAATTTTAAAGCAAAACATTTATAAAGTGTTAAAATTTCTTCTTCTCTATCTGTTTGCTTCATTTTTTGATTGTCTAATTCTAATGTGGTGATCTTCTTATGTTGAATATCCATTTCTTCAATTGATTTCTGCATTAACTTTCTTTTTTGGAAGATCATCTTCGCTTAATGATATTTCATCAGCTACTACCACATTTGGGAAGGTATCAATTACAATTTGTGTTTCAGATGAGTCTGTTATATTGTAATTTACCTCATCTTTCTTCTTTTCTTCCTGTGTATTTTCATTTTCTAATTTAGATAATTTATCTTTCATGAATATTAGTTGCTGTGTTAAGTTATTTACTTCAAACATTTTCCTTTCAGATTCAGCATGGAATTTGAATATTTTTTATCCCACTTTGTTTTTGTGCTTATCTCATTCTCATGCTTCTTCTTTAATGCCATAATATCCTTAGTTAGTTTCTTAATGGTTTGGTCTTTTATTTGTAATTCCTTTTTCATTTCTTCTTTCTTTTTTAATTCTTCTACTCTTTTTTATTTCTTCTACTTTTTTCTCATTTTCATTGTTTTCTTCTTCCTCTTCATTATTATTCTTCTTTAGTAAACTCTTTATCATCTTTATCTTTATTTTCAATACTCATTACATAGTTATTGTATATTCTATTATCATTAATCTCAATTGGTTGTATTGATTATTGTCTTCTTCCATAGTCATACTAATAGTTTCTTCTTCCATTCTGATTGTTTTTGTTTTTTCTCGTGCAATAAAATACCATCTCCTCCATATTGTTGATGATGTATATTCTTTAATCTTAGTATTTTTAATTTCTTCTACTTCTTGTGGTGTAAGTATTTTAATTTCTTCTTCAAATAGTCTTTTCCAATATTCTTGGTTTTGTATTTCAATCATTTCTTTTCTTTGATTTCTGTTTTGTTTCTTATTTTGATATTGTTTGTACCTTCTTTGAGTGTTATTGTGGTACTTGTTTTTCTTATATTGATATTGTTTATTTCTATTGAAATTTT